CTGACAAACATGCAGAGCCACAAAACCTCCAAGTGTTTCAAAATGCTTGAATTAAGGTGTGTATACATGGTCAACTCCACCCCTTAAGAAGAGTATATATACTCATTGATGATGGGATGTGATGTCAGTGGGTTCACCTTCAAGTGCATTCCCAGCCTCCTCCGTTGTAGTCTTGACAGCCGCCTCAGACTCCACGTTGCCCGGGTCCTGCCAGAGTCCGACAAGATGCAAAGAGAGCACAAATTTGAACATGCAGTAAGGCCCCCCATCAGCCAGATCACGCGCCGCGCGCGCGCGCCGATACTAGTAGTTATGAAGCCTGAAAATGGCGCGCGCGCGGCGCGTCTAGCCAATAAGTCTTTTTGAATATATGTTTGATGACATCCTATACCAACAAAGAGATCCAACGAGCTATAGGCGGTCCTTGGGAGTCAGAACCTCAACTGTCTCGGGAATCTCATCGCCACTCTGCCGGACAGAAGGCGTACCTGATCCAACCTTGGACGGACCTGCTTCAGGGGCAGAGGGATGGTCATAGCGAACTGTGTCCTGAGTCTGAAAGTTGGGCAGTTCGCCCTTTCCCTTTCCTTCACCCTCGGGTGTAAACAAAGCTCGCTTTGCCTGCGGCGTAGTTGAGGTGCTGGCATTTTGCATTGCCTTCAGCTCGCCTTTTGCAGCCTTTGTCTCAGAGACCCCAGGCGGTGTGGGACAGACACTTAAACTGCGGACACCGCCAACATTTCAACTCCGGACTAAATCATGCAACTTGGGAACATGGATCAGGTCATCAAAGCTGAGGCTCTGATTGCGAGTATGTTGCTCCAAAAGGTATGAGTTCCCACGAAGCAGCGTGCTCGCAGACCATTGGCGGGAAAGCAACGTTTTGGGGGAACCTTCGGTGGCCATGGTGGCTGTGCTCACAGCTATCACTGCAAACCAAAAAAGCCTGAACACCAGGAAGTGAAAGATGTCAAGGGGTTGCGATGGAACAACATGAAATGACATCACTGTGCAAATCCATACAAATCCCGATCATGGACACTCTTCATTTTCCTGGCACGAGCTTATGATGATATTGCACCACGCAGCTCTTGATGGGATCATGTGGGGTTGGGAGCCAACCACTTGGCAAGCTTCTCGGAGCCATTCAGGATCGTAAAATCCCGATCCTGGAAAACCTATAAAAGTGTACCATTATAGGGATACATTCGCTACGGAAATTTCCGCCACTAGTTCGCCTACAACAGTATCCTTTCCCCGTTTCCTGTCACAGTGTACCATTTTTTGGTGGAATTGTTAAAATACGACTTTGTTTCGCCTAAGTGGTGATTTGGCCCATGGCTTGCATACATGATCTATCTAATTAGCGTACAGGTGGCCAAAGATTTGATTTAAATCTTTGATGGGAACCAGCCACGCCAGTCGTCGGGCAATTGGACGCCCGTCCCCCCCATACAGGTAGTGAAGAACATCAGACATCCGTGCATCCCTCCACAAGTCGTCCATCGAGTCGAGGCATGGCAAGACATCATTTGGCTTGATCTCGTCGATGGTGGGCACCTTGGCCGGCCAAGCGTTTTGCGAGGGCAGGATTGAATCTGTGTGAAATGGTTTGGATGGGAAAGGTGATCGAATCTCTTTTGCGTTGGGAAAGCAAGCTATGGTTAATGAGATGTCATGCCAGCAAAGACATCCCTGAGGTTCGTGAGACGAAGATGAATACAATATAGTATCTATCAAAAAAACACCTTCTCATTGTTTACCAATTTACCTTGTCCTCTGCAATGGTGTTGGGCTTGGACTTCTCTTTCTGAAGCAGCGGCATTGTTCGAGTGAAGCGAATACCAAAGCCCACAGGATAAACCCTGAAAGAGCGTCGGTCAGTCCACATGTCAACTGAAGCATTCAATACTTGAACAGTGCTTTCTTTGTTTTGGTATTCAACACTGAGTCCCACACTGTGATCCCTTCAGCCGAGAATTGCCCTGATACCTCTTCTTTCCATTGGAATCAATGTAGACTGTAGCCAACTGGTTCTTCTTTTTCCCCTTGGCATACTTTTTGTGGGTTGCAAACTTCCTCACCCCACGGGAGTTGCTCCACAGAATCGTCCTCTTAGGAGTATTACTACCCCAGCCACGCATCCAGAAGGCTTGCCGCCAAACCTGAGATCCAGCAGAGGAAATGTGGGGTTTCGCCATGCATTACACTCCACATATATATATATATTTATACACAATATTGTGTGCGCACCACCGTTCTTCATGGTATTATTCCACCGAGGTGCATTTGTCATTTTCAAAAGTTGCTGGAATCTGGGATGGCGATAGGCAAGGGAACTTGATGGCTGTTCTAAGACAAACACCATGCCACGAGATATCATGAGTATCATAGCCAGAACCATCCTGCAGGGGGGTTCAACGAGGTGCAAGTTACGACATCTACGACCAATAAGAATAACAATTTAAACATATATACTATAGTGTCGTGTGTCTTGGAACCATGCACTCCTGCTGCAGAGTATATTGCCTAGCTGTACCGACTTTGAAGTGGGGTCTCCCAAAGGGAGAAAGAAGGAGCGGTGAGTGGTGCCACGGGAGACCGCCACAAAACTCGAACAGACAAGGCCGAATGTGAAGACTGCTGAAGGCTTGGACCTCAATATCGTGGATAGGAGAAGCCTGGGCGGAACAACACAGGGATGATGTTTCCATGTGTAGGTTTTGGGTTGGACTCATCAAGGGAACACATTTCAATTCATTCGTTGTTTAACAGATACAACTGCGCAAAAGGGCAATCAAGTTCATGAAATGAATGAAAGGAACCCAAAGCCGGCTGGAGATGTCAAGTCCAATGCATTCCCCTTGCAAAGCTTGCGCCTACCCATTCTAGTTCTTTCTGCCAACCACGGCGTGAAGTGAAGAATATCCAAGGATGCTGTGGCATAGCCTCCAGCTAGCAGGCATCGGCTGAGGACACCCTTCCCCGCAAAGATCTCAGCAGCATCATAGATCTGCGCATGTCACATGGGAAGATATGGGAAGTGCATGCATGCTTTAAATCACGAATGGGTGACTTTGATTCGGTGGCGCCTCATCCCATTGAAGACCCTCTGTGAAAGCCAGAAGGACCACTGCCATCATCAGGACCTCAACGGAGTAGTACGGAGTAGCCTACAGATTCCTCGCGTTGGGGCCCTAACCTCGAACATTGTTTAGTTGAAATGAACTTGGGGAACTCTCAAGTGTGGGCTGGTAGATGGTCCTGCCAAGGCACTCGGGGGGGGCGTTCACGAGCAAAAGCTGGCGAAGGAGAAGCATCAGGCGTTCGTGAGGCATCGCCATGACCAGCGCTCGATTTCTACTAATGTAGGTCTTGTTACAACAAGATGCGTGTCGTGTACACCAAGTACGTCCATATGTTCATATTGCTTACTGTTCAAAACCCACAGAGTGCACTCAAGTGAGAAAAATGTTGCACAAAGAAAGGGACTGAAGATCAGCATTCTCAAATCACAGACTTGCTAAAATGACTCGAGATCAAACCCTTCTTTAGATCAGAAAGCCGGCAGCAGAGTTGCACCTTCACGTTGGCGGTTGGAGGTCGAGCGTCGGAATCTGGCCAATTTGCTCATTCGAAACGTAGTCGCCTGGCATGTGAACAACTGCGGGTTCAAAGTATATGCTTTTTCTATGTATACCATATATAGATATATCTGTATACATTGTGTACATATACATATGCAATCACCATATGTATGTACATATACTATTCTACTGCTGCCCTTTGAATACATAGAATCTATAATTACAATAAACATATATATATATATGTTGTATGCATGTATACCACGTGCTGTTGCGGAGACGACAGGTTTGCAAAAGCATTCATTTCTGCGATGATCAACCCTTTCCATTGAAACACTTGCGGTGAAAACCACATGTCCAAGTCAGAGCCCATTTGCTAAGCGCACATCCTGTTGATTTTTGCGGTTGACCCAGATGCGACGGTGTGTGTATATATGTTGACCCTTCCTTTGCAAAGTTCTACTCTATGGATGTGGTGTGCTTGGGCTTCGACAACCCCAACAAATCCACATATATATAGCCGTATAGCAAGGTTCTTCCCTGCTATAGGCACCCAAAACCCACAATTCAAAATCCTCTCCACTCAGAAGCAGCCGAAGTGAGTGCTCCATGCAGGACTTGATGAAATGATCCGCAAGAGTGGGCATACCTTGGGAAGGACCGGCATGAAGCACACCGCATGTACTTATAGACTTGTAAAAGAACACGACTTTCACTGTGCTTGAATGTTTTGCGAAGTGACAACAGGCATTCCAAAACAGGTTGAGAGGCCGTCAAAAAAAGGATAAGCATGTTTGTTTGGGTGTCCTTTTGCCCTTGAGGTTTGCATGGGTTCCTTGTTGCTCCTGCATCATAGTTACAATTACATAGTTCGAAACAAGTAGAAAAAAAGAGACACACACTCAAACATATATTCTAAAATTTGGTTGATTTGAGAAAGGTTTCCTGGCCACCCACTTGTTGCGCTTGGTCCAGCCATCACACTGCATGCTTTGAGTTTTT